CTTGTATGTGTGTAAGACACCTAAATGCCCTCCACATGGTGAATCATGAAATTCCTGAAAGAGCCGAGTAACCAAATTAGAATTGGTTGGAATAACCACGCGATTCTTATAATGAATTAAGCCATTACGCCACATGGTGCTCTAGGATTTTCAGTTGCTAATTTGCTGACGCGGATCATATAAGGATGCTTTATAGTTGCTGCCTTTATTGCATCCCATAAAGACGTCTGTGGAATGAAGAGAGTATTAAGGTTGGGACTGCCCATAACACATGATAAGGCATCCACGATAGAATTTTCCCGCCCTAGCTTATAGATGATTTCATAATCATACCCAAGTAGCTTGGAAACCTAGTTTTGCTGTTCCAGGGTGACAATTCGCTGCTCCATTAGGTACTTGAGACTCCATTGGTCAGTCTGAAATGTAAACCTTACGGCCTAGCAGATATGGCCGCCATGTGTGAATAGCTTAGATAATTGCCAGCATCTCTTTGGCATATGTTGACCATGACTGCTTTGAAATTCCTAAGGCTCGACTCATAAAGGCAATTGGTTTTCCTTATTGAGTCAATACCGCGCTAATGTCGTCATTAGAAGCGTCAGTTGCAATGAGAAAAGAATCATTGAAATTAGGCATAGCGAGTGTTGGGGTGGTATTCATTGCTTGCTTCAAAGCTAAGAATGACCTTTCTGCTTCCTCTGACCAAGCGAACTGTCCCTTTTTCAACAAATTGGTTAATGGCTGAGCAATCATAAACAAACTTCTTGTAATAACCTATGAGGCCTAAACCATGCAAATCAGAGATATTAGTAGGTCTGGGCCATTCAAGCACTGCCCATATTTTTCCCTGATCCACCTTGACACCTTCATGAGAAACAATATGACCAAAATACTCTATTTCTTGCTGGCCAAATGCACATTTACTAAGCTTGATGAAAAGTTTGTGATGCCGTAAGATTTCAAAAGCCTTTTTAACATATTCAAGATGCATGTTCTAATTGGGGCTATAAATAAAAACATCATAAAAAAAACTAACACAAATTTTTGTAAGTATGGGCAAAATACAGAGTTCATTATGGCTTGAAAGGTTGAGGAAGCATTGCATAAATAATCAAAGGGCATTACTAAATACTCATAATAGCCATTGTGTGTGTGGAGGGCGGTTTTATTTATGTCACTAGGGTGAACCCGAACCTGATGGAATCCTAATCTCAAATCAAGTTTAGTAAAGTAAGCAGCCCCATGAAGTTCATCTAGCATATCATCAACTGTGGGAATTGGAAATCTGTCCCTAATGGTTGCAGTATTAAGAGCTCTATAATTGGTGCAAAACCGTCAGGATCTATCTTTTTTCTTAACTAATAGAACAGGAGAAGAAAAAGGACTTGTGTTGGTTTGAATTAACCCCAATTTTAACATGTCATGAACCTGTTTCTCAATTTCAGCTTTTTGAAAGTAGGCATACCTGTAGGTATGAACATTGATGGGGTATGTTCCTTCTTTCAAGTAATGTGGTGGTCAATTTCCCTTTCCGGAGGAAGCTCATTTGGCTTTTGGTAAATATCCTCAAATTGCTGAAGCAAGCTCTCATATCTGGATGGATTCCGTCCAGCAATACTTCTTGTGAAATCTGTAGACAGATTGCAAATATAGATCCTCCTTGTCTCAGCTCCTTTGTCATTACTTTCAATGAATAAGATTAGATTGACTAGTTGTCGATCCCTTTTAGTTGATGGTGCTGGCCATTCCACTGGAAATCCATTGTCAATTGCTTCCAATTGCAATTCACCGTACCCAATTGCTCAAGCCAATAAATTCCTAACACCATATCCAACCCTATTAACGGCAAAGTATATAGAGTGACAACAAAGGGTATACCTTCCAAAAAAAAAAAAAAAAAAAGGAACATTTTTTAATTTCTCATTGCATCGCAAGTGACCGCCTTTAGCAACTTTCACATTAAAAGGCTCGTTGGTACCATGGGAAATTTCAGTAACCCAACGACCCTTTCATTGATAAAATTGTCAGTTGACCCGCTAGCAATAAGAATAATCAACTCAGAAGGTCCTATCTTGACTGAGATACGCATGGTATGGACCAACCAGTGAGGGCACGTAGTGATATTTCTAGTTCTGTGTGAAAGTTGGCATACGACGCATCATTATCAATCTCTCCATCTTCAATTCTGCCATCAAGTAGTAGCAATTGAGGCTTAGAACACCTATGTCCAGGAGTGAACTTCTCATCATAATTGAAACAAAGTCCTTGAGCTCGTCTTTTCTGCATCTCGTCCCAAGTAAGTCGCTTCATCGGAGTGGCTGCCTTACTTTTTGTTGGAGATGAAGCATCCGATTGATTATATGAGCGAGTTGCTTTCCTTTGCCGTAGTAATTGCTCATCTCGCATTCGAGCCAAATTGATAGCTTCCTTTAATGACTTCAGTTTGAACATCCTACTGCCGCCAATGATCTCCGGCTTAAGTCTGCCCATGAATCCCACCAAGGCCCTTTGAGTCCATCCCTGCACCCTATTTCCTAGTCGCTCAAATTCCCTTTGATAATCTGTTAAGGAGCCAATCTATCACATTTGTTATAGAGATTCATCAAAGTCATCACAATCTGTTGGGTCGAAACGAGACCATAATTCCTCAACAAAAATTTCCCACGTAACCTCCTTCCCTTCTTCTTGGTAACCCGGCGTAGCCATTGCCACCACTGGTTGGCTTCTCCTTCCAATTGAAAGGAAGCCAATGACACCTTTTAAGAGGCTAAAGTGTCCTGGTATTCAAAGAATTGATCCACTCAGGTGAACCATTCGGTGGGATCGTCTCCGAAATATCTCGAAAATTCAAGTTTTGCCAATTTAGAGGAGAATGTCGGCCTCCCACCCTCTCTACATGCTTCTCTGTTACTATGAAAGTGGCTGTTACGATCACTGGTGTTGCTGGTTCCATCTTTACTAGAGAGTACAGCTGCAAAAAGCTTTGTCATTGCTTTCTCCATATGTTGCAACTTGTCAGCAATGCCAAGTTCCATCCGACCCATACTATCCTGGAGTTTTCCTAGCCCAGCCTCCAAGTTTTTAATTCATTCCTTGTTCGTTGCCATGGCTCTAATACCACTGATAGGTCCCAGTCAGAGCTATTGAGAAAGTATAAAACTCTTATTAGAATGAGAACTGCTGCATGCTGAAAGTTGAGAATAAAATACTTCTATTGACATTTTTCTTGCCCGACTCTGCTGATGATAGAAAAATAAATAGAATAGAATGCAATAACTTTTGCTACTTCTAAGGACCACAAAGACAATTTAACCAAATAAATAGGAAAGATTTGCTCTCCATATAAGTTAACTAATTGACCTATTTTGCAGCAAATAAAAACACATGCAACAAATAAAAGCCATAGCAGCAATAACTACACATGGCATTTTCAATCCAAGTATTGTTTATTCTGAATAGGCACCCTTTTAGACTTTCATAGTTTATCAGCTTCAAAGGATTGTCAATAGGGTCTGGATCGCTTCTCATCTTTTGAGTCCCAACCAATAGGCTTACAACTTAAGGAATCATCTCCAACAATTATAAGGGATCACAATTCTGAGTAAAAAAAAAAAAAAATCAGCAGAAGTAGAAGTAATCAAGAGTCAAGAGATTGAAAATCTCAGAGTAATACAATAAGGCCTTTAATGGCGGCCTTGATACTATGCACAGAAAAGAGAAGAATTCTCAAATGCAAAAAATATCTCAAATGATTTACTGATTACTTTCCTCCTGTATATGTACAAGTATCTTTAACAGCTGCTAATTAACTATTCTAGTAAACTATGGTTACAATTAAACTTATGTGGCATGTCTAGTTAAGAATCAGTTGACTACAATAACTAATCTATATTAAGATTTTTACTATGATAGAGAAGTGGGTAAATTATGTACCCACATAAAGTTTCTAATCTATTGACACATGGCTAATAAACTATGTACATCAGATTGAAGTCTCCTCTCGAGAAAACATTTAGGAATTGAATAACAAAATTTTATAAAAGTTATGAAATTTAAAATTTTTGATATCGCTTTGAAAGTATAAGTTAATAGATAACCACAAATTAAATTATGAGCATTAAATAATTTTAAAACGTTGTTCAGATAATTAAGCTTTTCAGAAGAAAATATTTGTTTTTTTAATTTTATTTTAGAGGAAAACTAAATAAGTTTTTATTTTAATTGTTTATTAAAAAGAAAATTAATATTTTTATTATTACTGAATAATATATATTAGTGTTTAATAATAAATAAAATAATATCTAATAAGATATATGAATAACAAACAATGACCCGGGTAGCAAGTTGTTAAAGATTTTCAAATCCAACCATTTACAATAAAATCGCTTATATCTAATGGTAGCAAGTTATTAAAGATTTTTTAAATCCAGCGATTCACAATAAAGTCGCTTAAATCTAATGGAAATGGATGTTTCTCTGTAGATACAAAATTTTAAGTTTTGTATTGTAGTCTTCTCTCCATATTAAATATACAATATGCTTTCAATCTCTCACTCAGCTACATTAATGAGAAGACCACCAACCCCAGAAGACATGATTTGGCTAAAATTTTGAATTAATAAGGATTTAGTTATTTATATATTTTAATATTTATATTTAAAAGTTTTAAAATTTTATTTCATTATTTAATATATAGAACAATTATTAGTATTTTTTAAGGAAAAATATAGCATAATTATTAGTATGAGTAGATAGTAAAATAACCTTAATCATAATAAAGTTAATACCTAAAATAATTAAAATGACCCACACCAGCTCTATCCTCCCACCGTGTTTAACGTTGGATAATCCCTAGCTCCATTTTTGAATCCTGCGATCACCAACCTGAAAGCACTAATGAATTTTCAGTTTTCTTTGCTTTTGTCACCTTGATTGAGAGAACTCTTTCAGTAATGTAAGAGGTTTGGTTTTGCAAAGTAGCTCTCAGGAAAAACAAAAAAGAAACCAAGTATAGCTGAATTAGAATTACAGACTCAAATTTACAATTATTATATATTCATATAAACTCAGTAGAAGAAGTAGAAAACAAGCTCAAGTTGCAGCTTCAAACAGTTACAAAATTGGCAACAACACTTCTTTTGTACATTCTATTGTTTCTATCTACGTGTAGGAACCTAACCAAAGAATATTTAATATCTCATTCGATCTCTCATTATCTTCAGCCCCACGTATCTGCCAAGAAAGACAAGCAAGACTCAGTTTGTACTTAATTAGGAAAAAGAATTGAACTAGTGTTAGTATATGATTAGGATACATACCTTCCCAGCATCATGAGAGTAGCCTGAGGATTAGTCCCTGGAGATATACTAAATGTTGAGCCATCAACAACTCGAAGAGCAGCAATACCAAAAACGCGATGATGAGGATCGACCACTTTCCCTATAACACAGCCTCCATGGTAATGCCATATGGTGCTAACACTTCGCTTACAAAAATCAGCCATCTGCATATAGTCAGATTGGCGAGAAGGCAGCTGAGGCCCTACAAATCTGAAACTTCTACCTCCAAACCAGTCATTGAACTTTAACACTTGCATAGAGCTACTCCTCAACACATCCCCAATTTTGCGTGTCCCGTTTACACACTTCTCTAAATCTACTGGGTTTGAAAAGTAATTGAATCGAACAGTTGGGTTGACTCTGACATCTACTGAAGCAAGCCTTAGTGAGCCAGTAGAAAGTGGCCCGGTGATTTTCTCCATTAGTGTTGCCACAGTTAGATAGAGAGGTGCAGAGAATGGGGTATTAATGAAAATAGAACGAGCTGGGGAAGCAAATGGGATAACATTGGAAGCTGCTTCAAGGTAAGCCCCCACTTTAGTTATTCCAACAACCTCTATCAGTGAATGCTCCAGTGGGATAGAAGGCACAAATGATATGCTATTTCTAGGATTATCATACATGTACTGCCCCACAGTTGGAAGGTTATATGATACAGGAATACCCCAGGATGATAGGTAATGTCTAGGACCTATGCCACTCAACAACAGTAACTGTGGGCTTCCAATGGCACCAGCAGACAGTATGACTTCCCCATTTTCGCGTACCATTGCATGGTGATATTGTCCCTTGTGATCACGATAAACAACCCCAATTGCTGTTGTCTTTGAATTTTTCAAATATGAGGAAGTAGAAGCCAAAAGTACTCTTTCCACACTTGCATACAAAGCAACTTCGATATTTGCAGGATTTGCATAATTGAGAAGATCAGCTGCAGTATGTCTCGCCCCTGTAGCGTCAAAAGTGGAGCCACCAATCTTCGTGCCCATCAGATGATTTAAACTGAACCCATTATATGGATCAATCCCAGCCTCCAATAACCCATCTTTAAATGCTGATTGCCACTTTCTAAGCACTGGCCTAAACACAATTGCCTTCTCAACCCACTCATAAGATTCATTCACCATTCCCAAATCCCAATTCACACCTGATTTCGCAAAGAATTCTGGGTCTGCTCTGCTATAAAATCCTGCATTAATGGCACTGCTGCCACCAAGAGTGCGTCCTCTGGCGTTTGGGACACCATCCTCAGATGTGAAGGCTTGGGCAGGAGAATCAAATGCATCTACTTGGGTAAGTGTGGCAAGGAACCCTTCTTGACTCATCAAATTGGGTTTGCCATGAGAAACCCCACCGCGTTCAAGAACAAGAACTCGGTACCACTGTGACAAAGAAGCAGCCAATGGGCAACCAGCAGTTCCACCTCCTACAACTATGTAATCATAATACTCTTCTGATGGAAATTCTGTTCCATTCTTGACGAACTTCAAATAACTCGGGACTGTAATCAATTAAAAAGTATAATAATTAAAGGTTCAACCAAATTCATGGCTTTCATGCATTTTCGCAGTAACAAAATGGGGTTCCGTTGATGTAATCAAGAAAAAGAGAAATGTGTAATTCCCGTTTGGTTTCCAATAAAATTAAATTTCGAAACCTTAATTTAATCTCTCTTCAAGTAAACGGAATCAAGAAGAAGAGAACGGACCTGCTTGAGGACGTAGTCTTGCATGACAAACACCTGTACAGACGATCATCAGGAACGCTATGTAAAAGAAGGAAATGAAGCTCTCCATTTTTACGTTTTCTTGGTGTTTTCTGGAGGAGAGAGAATTTTCTCGTTTTGTTTCTTGGAAAGAAAATAGAGATACATATAGAGAGAGCAGAGCAGAGTCGAGTCTGTTCGGTTTGTTAAAGACGAGACTCTGTTAATTCCTTATACAGGGTTTTGGGTTGTGGTATCCTACATTAAGGTGTAATTTGATGAATACTGCTCTCAGAACATATGTAGCAATTTATTGAAGTCGGCAATATTTTCTTTTTTTCGGTAACTAGCAGTATTACTTTTTTGATAAATGTGTAACGTCAACTGACATAAATAAAAATTAATAATAATTTAAAATATGATTTAAAAATTATTTTTTGAAGGCAAAATATGAAATATAATCTGTGATAATAAAATAATGAATTAATTTACAAAAAATAAGTTGGATAATAATTTACCGTCTAATAAAACGCTTCAATTTTTTTTTTTTTTTTTTTTTTTTTTGAAATTAATTTACAAAAAAATAAGTTGGATTAATTAATTTACGTCTAATAAAACGCTTCAATTTTTTTTTTTTTTTTTTTTTTTTTTTTTATGAGAAGAAAGATAGAAATCTTATCCACTCTCTGAGCTATTAACCTTGGTAAGAGACATATTCACCTGTTGGAATTCATGCAACCAAGATATTGCCATTTGAGCTATAGCCTCCATATTCAGCCTTTTATTATGGAATTTAACTATGTTGCACGCACGCCAAATTGCCCATGTTATCATTGGGAACGACTCTAATTATTCTGAATTGAATTTCCAAGCTAAACTCTCAAACCACTTCATGAAACTCCTCGCAACCTAGAATTCATCTGTGACAAGGCGAAGTAGAGAATACCTCCAGAATTGTTGGGCAACAATGCGATCCTTCAGGATATAAATGATACTCTCACTCTCAAGATCACAGATTGCACAAGTAAAGTCAATTTGCATACCTTTTCGAGCAAGAGCTTTAGAAACCGAGAGATGTCTTTTACACGCACGATGAACAAGATGCTTGGAATTAATGTCTATTTTCCACAAACATTTCCATAAAGCACTAGGACAAAGTTCACTAAAGAGGCATATATTTGCAATAAGCTTTGATCATGAATCAAATGATATCCGCTCCTTACATTGTACTGTCCATCCTTGGATAAAGGCCAAACCAATTTGTCAATAGTTCTCCTTCAGCTAAGAGGAATAGAGTAAACGGTACCTGCTTCAGTTGAAGGAAAAATATTATTAATTAGAGTGACATTCCATCGCTTTGGCTCCTGAAAAACAGAAGACGATTTACCGTGGCTTCCTCATCAAGAATAGTAGGAGGGGACACCACCCTAGGATAGTGTTGTGCGGTGCCCACTCAAGTGGGACCCATAATAAATTTAAAAAGGCAAAAAAGAAAAAGGAAAACACGTGTTATTTAAAAATGTTAAAAAGTTGGCTGAAAGTTGATAACTAACCATTATCTAAATGGAGAGCCATGTGTAACTCACACACGGTTCTCGCATTACCTCTCCTGTAAATAGGAGAGGATTTGCTTCTTTTGGTACACACAGCAGTAACGAAAGAAAAAAAAATGTAGCGAGAGAGTTTTCTAGTTTTAGGATGGGTTTCCTAAAACTAGGGGAGAGAAAAATAGTGAGGATTATTTTGGGGTGTTTTACGAGAAAATAGTGAGGATTATTTTGGGGTGTTTTTGAAGAAACACTTTTTGTGTTGCCACTATTTTTGTTATACATACCTCTCTTTTGTGTACCTACTATTTTTAAACCTCTTTTTTGTGAAAGGAATTTTATTCGGAGTTTGTTCCCGTGGACGTAGCCCTAAACATTGAGGTGAACCACGTTAAATTTCTGTGTATCCCATTCTATATTTTTCTGATTGCATTAATTTTCTTCTTAATTCGTAAAAAGGCCCAACAGTGGTATCAGAGCTTGATACCCAAAACTGGCATTAGAGCCTGGTGTGGTATCAGAGCTGATACCCAAAAACTGGCATTAGAGCCTGGTGCCCTAACAGATAGAAACAAAGAACTATTCGTCCTTCCAAATTTTAATTGTAGCACCACCCAACTTGCCATTTACTTCCCATCTCAATCACCGATTTGGCTACCAATAAGCTTTCCATGAATAACTGGGTTTGCAACCAATCTTTGCCTCCATAAAAGAAGTCCGAGTGAAGTATTGTGATTTTAAGATTAAGAGAGACCATTGAATCCGAATTTTCAAGAATTCGCCAACCTTGCTTTGCTAAAAGAGCAAGATTAAAATCCATGATATCCCCGAAACCTACACCTCCTTTGCACTTTGGAATACTTAGCTTATCCCAAGAGCACCTGTGAATTTTTCTTTACTCTTATCTTTGTCTCTACCAAAATTTAGCCATTAAACTTTCAATCTTATGATAAATCTCTGCAAAGAAAAGAAAACAACTCATATTATAGGTTGAAATTGCTTGAGCTACAGTCTTTAACAGTACTTCCTTTCCTGCTCTCGACAAGGTTCTCTCCTTCCCACCCTTTAGTTTCTTATCCACCCTATCGCAAATAGCTTGAAAAATTAATTTTTTACTCCTGTCATCACTGCTGGAAGTCCTAAGTACTTTGACATGTGCTAAATAGCTTTAACTCCTAACCTATTCTTGATTAACTCCTTGATTTTTGGTGAATAACTCCTATTAAAAGAAACTTTTGATTTTTGCAGATTAATTTGTTGTCCCGATGCTCTCTTATGACTTGCAATAATGTTTGCCACCACATTAGCCACATTAGCTACAGTCTACCCAAAAATAATGTTATCATTTACAAAAAAAAAAAAGAAAAAAAAAAGGTGAGAAATAAAAGGCGCTCTTTGACATATGCAGAGGGTAATACAGCAGCTACACCACTTGTCTAGGGTCAGATGACTTGCCAGAAGAAAGGTAATCCATTGTCTCGTTAGCTTCGGCTTTGCTTGCATGTACTTGACTTTAAACTCTTTAGCCTTGACTGTCTGTATTTGGATATGACTTCATTTTTTTTTTTTTTTTTTTTTTTTTTGTTAGCGGTTATAACATGCCCTTATGAAAATGCATGGATTTATTGGATTACATTCCTAATTTTGATGATAACCAACCCTTGAAAATCGATCTTAAGAAAAGTACTTAGCAGAGGTCCAATTCATTCAAGCAATGATCAATATAGGCAAGAGATATTTATCTTTAATGGTTAATGCTTGGTTGAGATGTTCTTAATAATTAAAAAGCGCCAAACATTTTATTATTATTATTATTATTTTTTTTTTTTTTTTTTTTTTGTTTTTTTTTTTTTTTTTTTTTTTGTACAAATAGGAGTAATCAAGTGTATGGGCTATAACTAGGTTGAATAAGAGAGGGCAGCAACATGTCCTTGACTTGTTTTTCTCACTACAAATAGTTACACTTTTTATTACAAATTATTTTGAGACGGATAAATTTTTATACCTAAAAGGTAGCATATTATGATAAAAATAAATTATCGTCACTAATAACTTACTTTTGTAACAACAAAATATTGTCATTATAAGTTAAATGGTTGGTCATAAAAAATGACAACTTACTAGGAATTATTATCTTTTGTCATGATTACACTTGGAAGGAAGATTTTACACCACTAATTTTGGAGGGAATTACTTTTGTAATATTGAAAAATATTAATGATGATATTAATTGTGATATATTGAAGCTTCATTTTTTTCCGTAAAATAACTTGTAAGAAAATATTTTTCATAATTTTCCGTTGTTTAGAGAGTTCATGAAAATAAATCAAATGAAAATTCAGTCATTTTTTAAGAAAAATAACTTCTCATCTTCCAGAGAGTAAAATATTTTTTGGACATTGATAAACTTTATAAATTCATATTTTTTAATTTATTAATCATCGTAGTCACTACCATTAGTCACCATTTATCACTGACCACCACCAGTGGCCACCACCGGTGCTTTCATAATTTACTTTTTTTTAATCCTTTTTATATTTAATAATAAAATTTTTAAATTTTTAAAATTTATAAAATTTCCTTTATTATTAATATTTTTTATTGGTCTTATGAGATAAATGACTTTAATATTTTTAAAAAAAAAAAAATTATTAATATTTTTATGGTCTTATGAGATAATGACTTTAATATTTTTAACTAATTTTCAATATTACAACCAAACAACAGAAAATAAATCATTTGAAAAATATTTTTCAATAAGTTATTTTTCTGTAAGTTATTTTACGAAAACAAACGGAGCATGCGTAATTGTAATTGTGATGCATATATATTTGGTAATAAAGTTAACTGGCAAAATTTTTTTCACTCGTATATGGTCTTGTAGTGACATGATTCTTGTCACTAATAATTATATAGCTACAGTTACAAAGTTATCATTATTGATTTGTCATTAAAAGTTTTTATATTAGTATAAAAATAATATATTGGCACCCAAATAATTTTATGCTTTGATGGTATCATTAATTACAAAACTTGTCAATAATAATCCTATTTGGTGACAAAAATATAATTTATGTCATAATTAATTTTGGAGGTAAAAAATTGGCATTACTTATTTTGAAGGAAAAAGATGAAATTATCAAATTTTTATGATGAACAAAAAATCATAAAATCATATGTTATTGAGACGATTTTACAATTTGTAATTATATATATTGATAAAATAATTTTGGAGGAAATTGCTTTTGTAATATTGACAAACTATTAACAATGATAATGATAATTATGTATGTTAATTACGATAGTATGCTATTATATTTCCCAATACATTCAATTGACAAAATTTTCCTTACTTTCTATATGATTTTAATGTAACACATATATCGTCGCTAATAATCATATAACTTTGGTGACAAACATCTCATTATTATTTGTCAATAAATTTTTTAATATTCTTATGTAAAAAAATAAATTGTCGCCAAAACTAAAATACTTTTATGTACTGCATATATATCATCATTAATTGTAATTAATGTCAACAAGAAGGAAAAAATATAATTCATATCTTAATTGATTTTGAAAATAAGATTTAACATTACATAAGGAAAAATATAGTGATAAAATTTTTAGATTTTATAACAGATATAATTATCATTTATTT